AATAGCAGATTTGCTCAATGCAATATTTCATTTGGGTTTTTTACTACTTCTGCCATGGCTATTATTAGAAGCAAGAGTGGCATCTAAAGTGATACAAAATAATTTCTAAAAAGTTATTTTAGGTATTTTTAAAATAACTATTGCATTATAAATATGTATCTCAAAGATAATATAAAAATGTATAGTGTACAATTTGACAACTTTTATATACAGGGTTTTTTAGTTATTATTTTAATAAAAAGTTTACAGAAAAGTTGGATTCTCCTTCATTCATTTATTACTGCACATTTTTCTCCCTACCCACGCCCACACCCAAGCGTTGAGGACTCTCCTTCATAGGGTCGCTTTGAGTCGCCTGCGACTCGACGGCACTTAACAACAGCTATATATATATATATATATTCATTCATTGTTACATATATATTCATTCATTGTTGCATCATTTTCTCCCCCTCCCACAGTCTACTTTGCTATGCACCTCTTATTCTGGACTGTTGTCATTCAAATAATGCCTAAAATGTTCTTTTTTTTCATCTGTTCCACAGCAGTGTTCATTATTTATCCCCTCTTGTCTTAGTTTTCCCCCGACCCCCAGGTCAGTCCTGTTTTATAACAGTGGTGTTATGCAGTATTTTCCCTTTTGTTACTGAGATATTTCACTCAGCATAATGTCCTCCAGGGTCACCCATGTTGTGTAGTATTTTATGAGTTCCTTGTTTTTCAGTACTGCGTAGTATTCCATTATGTGATTACACTGTCGTTTTTCTATTCATTTGTTAATGGGAACTTGGGTTGCTTCCATCTTTTGCTATTGTGAATAACCCAGTGAATAAACATGGGTGTGGCTATATCTATTTGGGTGGCAGCTCTGGTTTCTTCAGGGTATATTTCTAGTCATGGAATTGCTGGGTCAAATGGTATTTCTATTTCCAGCTTTTTGAGAAAGTGCCATACTGCCTTTGAGAGTGGCCACACCATTTTATATTCCCACCAGCAGTGAATAAGGGTTCTAATCTCTGCACAACCTCACCAGCATTTGTTGTTTGCTGCTCTGTTGAACTGTGCTATTGTTAAGATGATGTCTCATAGTTGTTTTGATTTACATCTCTCTAATAGCTAGGGATTTTGAACATTTCTTCCTGTGCTTTTGTTTGTGTGCCATCCGAATGTAGTTTTTGGTTTGTTTTTGTTTTTGGTTGTTGTTGTTGTTTTGTGAAGTATCTATTCATATCCTGTACCCATTTTGTGATTGGGTTGTTTACCTTTTTCTTCTTAAGGAGCTCGAGTATTCTATAAATTTTCGATCTGAGTCCCTTATCAGATATATCATTACCAAATATTTTTTCCCAGTCTGTGCCTTTCCTTTTGACCCTGTTGGAGAAGGTTTTGGATGTGCATAGGGATTTGATTCTTAGAAGGTCCTATTCATCTATTTTATTCTCTTCTGGTTGTAGGTTTTTCAAGATGCTTGAAAGATTGTTCATATTGTGGATTAGGGCTTCTAGAATTCTTCCATTTTTGAAATGTTAACCCGTAGACTCTCTCTTACTCCTGTTGAGTCAGTTTCAACCCATAGCATCCCTCCACTGGGCTTCCAAGGTAGATCTTTATGGGAGGAGCTTGTCTATCTTTACCTCATAGAAAAAGGTGAATTTGAACTGCCAATCTTTTGGTTAGCAATGCATTATACCCTTTAGAATTACTGTCTCCCAATCAGGATCTTATCTGTTGTTGTTGTTATGTGCCATCGAGTTGCTTGTGACTCATAGTGACCCTACGTACAGCAGCTCTAAACTCTGCTCTGTCCTGTGCCAATCTCATTGCCTCTGACACATTCATCCCAATTGTCCCAGTCACCGAATCAATCCACCTCCTAGAGGGTCTTCCCCTCCTGCGGCTGCCCTCCACCCTCCCAAGCATGATGTCCTTCTCCAAGGACCAGTCTCTCCTTACAGCATGACCAAAGTATGTCAGAC